TATAGTATCCGTCTTTATATCTAAATCATGTACACATTTTGATTTTATCTTGGTATAGGGTGTAAGATGTTGGTCTATATCTAGTTTCTGCCATACTATTTTCCAGTTTTCCCAGCATTTTTTTTAAATAGTGAGGATAACAAATTATTTTAAAAGAAACCAGTCTGTGTTGGAGATAACGTACATAAAGCACTATATAAATGCTAGTTATTGGTAGTAGTAGATATGCAATAGTGATATAGAATTAGAATTCTTAATTAATTCTATTGTTATCCAATTCCTTCACTTGAAATTCTTTTTTTTTTTTAATGGGGAAAGCAGGATACTGTTCCAGAGCATGTTAATCTCTGTTAATCATGCCTGTGGGAAGCTTGGCCATTCAAACCATAAGGCCATACTCTTGGAACCACCAGCCATTTGGTGGCAGTATATCAACACTAAAGGACTAATAGTAGTCTATGGCAGATAGGAAGTAAGTTGGTGGAGAGACAGCTAGCCTTGTGAATGGAAATAAATTCTGGGCAGAGTGGCTACAATGATGGACTTAGAAGCAAAAAGACCTGAGTTTGAATCCCATGTTAGCTTCTTACTAGCTATGTGACCTTGGGCAAGTCAATAATCATTCTGAACCGTAGTTTCCTCATATGTAATAATAGCAGCTACCTGATAAGAGTTGTAGTGAGGACCAAATGAAATAATATACATAAGCACTATATAATGATAATGATAATAATAATAATAATTAGTAGCAGACATAATAATTAGACATGCTGTAGTAAAATAGAATTAGAATCCTTAATTTATATTGTTCCTCATTACCCAGTTCTTCCACTTGAAATGTTTCTCCTATACTGTTATTATTGATGCAATTTTAACCCATATAAACTTTGTGGATACTTATCCTAACTACTATTCACCTGCCCCTATTGTCAAATTAGTCAACTCCATAGCAGCTTTAACCCAGAAGCCTATCTATACTATCTATATCATCTCTGTCTATTTTGCATCTATGTCTGTATTTGTATCTATGTGTATATCCATATCTATCATATTTATAAAATCTATATCCATATTTACATCTATATCAATGTAGATATAACTATATCTATATCATCTGTATCTATATCTATATCTGAATCTATAATGATACCTATATCCATATCTATCATATCTTTATAATCTATATCTATACCTATCTATGTATCTAGGTCTGTATCTATACCTATACCTAGATCAATATCTATTATATCTATATAATCTAAATCTATACCTATATCTATATTAATACAGATATATCTATGTCATCTATACCTGTATCTGCATCTATATTGTTGGTGCTTTTGGCAATTATTAATGTCTTTCTGTTCCACAGATCAATTGACTTGGCTTCCTGACTGTGGTAACATTAGGAACCTAGAATTTAACAATCCTTACCCTACCCTCCAGCAATCTCAAAATTTTGGGAAAAAATAGCTCTCCTTTCTGAAGAATGCATACTCCTAATCTATGGTATTAAGAACTATCACTTTTGCAGGGAGGTTATTTTCTGGCAGATTATTTAAACTCCACTGCTACCACAGTCATCTAACTATAGCCTTAACCTTGAGAAATTTGACTGGGACAAGTTCTGGCACATTCCCTGGGCAAGAAACATTAAAGGTTATAAATTATATCTGTAATTTAATTGGTGTAATTCCCAGGTGAAGAAACTCCCTTTACCAATACAAATTGTCAAATTTTCAAATCAGAATATTAGAGTGAAAAAATAGATATTTTGTGTCTCAGATGACCATTTTTATATTTTCATGGAGAGTAAAGTTATCTGAATTGCATATATTTGAAATATGTACATTTATGTGTAATTATCTGAAATCTAAAATATGCCGTTAGTACCTCAGTACTCCTATGGTCAAACTACTCATTTTTGAGCTTACCTACAAAAATATTGTTAGCTCCTAACATAATATATACTCTGTCTTATAATTACAGGGTATTTGAGATAAAAATTGAATTAAAAAGTATTAGCATGTATAACTGAGTATAAATTGGAGTGTGTGAATGAGTATTATGCCTTTGCTGTTGAGACAGAGGAACAAGAAGGGTGTATATTCGAGAAACTTGACGTTAGCATTTGATTATACTGAGGAAAAATGATAAATGGGGGGTACTTATTCAAGGAGGGCAGCAAGTACATGGGGTGTGGGAAGGAAAGGTGTATGAGAGTGTGAGTGAGTGTGAGAGTGTATGTGTAAAGACACACAAAGAGAAGCCACAGATCTGGTGATTTTGAAGGTAATGAGCTGGTTACATTAAAGGTTTCTAGGCCTGAAGTGGGCTGTCAAATGGACTTCTCTAGTTAAGCACTGAGAGGTTGGGATTTGCTCTGGGACACTTGGCCAGTGTTAGTTAGTTAGTTAGTTAGTTAGAGGCAAGACTTCACTCCAGGTCTTACTTATGTAGTAGCTAGAGAGAGGCACCATATCTCCTATGAAATGGATTGAATTCATCCATTTGGCAGGTTTTTGTTGCATGCCTACCATCTTCAAAGCACTAGAATACTGATGTATTGAACTTAGAATGATACTGAAACATGGGGAGGAAAAAAGAGCAAAGAACTAGGAGGAAAGAGACAGAGGTTTCAGACCTGATTCTGCCATTAACTTCTCTGGGCTTTATTTTCTTCGTGTGTAAGGTGATGGGGTTGGACTAGATCACAGACTTTCAGAGATGGGAGGGATCTTAGAGCTCATCTTCCTTATTTTACAGATGAGAGGACTAAGTCTCAGAGAAGTTAAGCAATTTGCCTGCAGTCACATGATTAGAAAGTGGCAAGTTGCAGCCTAGAAGTTGAATTTATTTTTTCCTAATTTTCCACGTTGCTATCTTTCCACTAGAACCCTCTCTAATATCCTGTGGTTTGAACATCTCTGCATTGTTATCAAACATTTTCCCAACTTAGAAAAAGTCACTCAGATGCAAAGAGATCTGAGGAAAAGAAAATATTTGCTTAGCTAATATTGTTCTCCTTCCAGTGTGTGGCTTCTTGGTGTCTTAGCTCCTTGTAACTTGAAAAGGGAATGGCCAAATGTCAAAGGGCATTGGCAAAAGAGCAACTGGCCCCTGGAGAAACCACGACTTGAAGTCTTAAAGCTTTTTGCATGGACTCTGGAAAGATTACAAAGTTTTCATTTCTATTTCCTGTTCTCCTGAAAACACAGTCTTAGCTTACAATCTTAACTGAGCCAGGACTCACAGCACTGAGTAAGTCCCTATGCAGGAGTATCCTATTTCATGAACAGTCACAGGCCCTAGTACAGTCCTAGACTTTTACTATGATCAGATCAGATAAGCTCAGATGTTGGTATTGCTTCAGAACTCCCTTCTTAACCATGCTAGGCTTGGAAACATTTTATTTCAGCAAATATATTTTCCTTTATCTTCCAAAATCAAAATGTCAGCCTTAGGGATGGGCAAAACTCCAGGGTTCAAGAGCCTGGTTTGCATATGCTTCCAGAAGGCAAAGTAGGGTTATTTGTTCAAGTTGCCTTTTTAAAAATTCCTGTCATCTGAGTTTTCAAAATTACAAAATTGTCCAACTCTGGAGCATGCCTTGACTTGTATTGACCAATGGAATTCCTTTCATTGACTTGAATGCTTCCTGGACTCCACTGAAGTCCTACAACGGTACCTTATTATAATACAGCAGTAAGTATAAGGCACTGAATGTTATTCCAGAGAAGCACAGTATTTGGCGGGCTTTGCCAAGGTGGAAAGGCTTCAATTATGGCCTGGTCATGGTCTGTTTTATAAGAACCAGGCTGGTTAGGTTCAAAGAAACTTGTCAAAGGTTGACCACACAGTGACTCTTTCAGATGCAGCAAATCCCAAATATAATTGGAAAGGAGGTGTCTTCTCCATACTCATAGCTCATTTAAGTATTAAAATAAGCTTCCTGGATAGGCAAGGCTTGGTTGAAAAGAGCCACCATCAGGTTGTTGTTTCAATGTTTCTATACCTTACATATTCTGAATACATGTGTGTGCATACAATATAATATATATGACATATGTAAGTACATACAATATAATATATATGTATATATACATATAATGTGAATGTGTATATATACATATTTCTGCTGACAGAATGAAAGATCCTTGAGGGCAGAGGCCATTTCATTCTTGTCTTTGTAACCCCACTACATGGCACACAGTAGATGATTAATAAATGCTTGTTTATTGATTGATTATAAGAGAGATTATAAGACATAAGATTACAAGAGATATAAGATTGATTGTAAGAAAGAATTGATTTAAATTGATTTAAAGCAAGCATTTCCTCCTAGGAAAGGAAGGGTAAAAGCTCTAACTTTGAGATGCTCTCCACTGTAGGTAAAAAGGCTAAAACTTGATAGGACAGGATGGGGACAAGAAATTTCAGTATGTATGTTAATGCATTAAAATGCCAATAATAAAAAGAAACATTTTGACTACAGATAGGTTTCAATTAGTATGAATAATGACTCCCCTGAAGTGGTCATATATAGAGGCAGCTAAGTCTGGAGTCAGGCAGACCTGAGTTCAAATCCAGCCCCCGACACTTACTAGCTATGTGATCCTAGGCAAGTCACTTAACCTGCTTGCCTCAAGTTTCCTCACCTGTAAAATGGGGATAATAATAACACCTACTTCCCACATTTGTTGTGAGGACCAAATGAGATAATAGTAAAGTGCTCAGCACAGTGCCTAGCATATAGTAAATACCATATAAATGTTAGCTGTTATTATTATTGTCATTATTATTCCAATTTGTCCTATAATTATATAATATATGGTCATCGGTTCCATTGCAGTGGAAATATGTAGTATGAGTTAGAATAATGTGACGCTTCAGGGGTTTCATTATTCACATGAATGGACCTATCTGTAATTAATGCTTTTAGTTAGATTTAGAGCAACCTGGAGAGAACTTTAACAGAAATGATGTCCTTTCCTATATAGATGCTGATGCTGAGATTGCAGGAGCTCCCGCTTCCCCCCTAGATGTGGTCTGCTTAGATGCCAACAAAGATTATGTCATCATCTCTTGGAAACAGCCTGCTGTAGATGGAGGGAGCCCAATACTGGGCTATTTCATTGACAAGTAAGTCAGTGTTCAGTATGAAGTCATTTATAGCCTTTTGAAGGACTTGGAGAGGCAGGAAGATTCATGTTTAATTGGTTTTACCATCTGCATGTGAAGCATTTTTATTTGACTACCTCTTGGTCATGCAAACATCCGGTGTTAAGCTTTCTAAAGGCAGACTTTGACTCTGATTCCCAATTCAAATTACTTCAGTGTTTGAATACAAAGGTTGAGGGTTGATAATGATAGCTAACATGTTAACTTATTTGAGCTCAGTGAGGTTGGTGCTATTACTCCTGTTTTATAGGTGAGGAAACTGAGACACAGAGATGTTAAATGACTTGCCCTGGGTCACGTAGCAATAATAATAATAATTAATAACAATGCTAATAATAGTATTTATATGGTATTTTAAGTGCTTTTAAGATTTGTAAAGCATTTTATGATTATCGTCTCATCTTATTCTCACAACAGCCCTGGAAGGTAGGTGCTATTATTATCCTCATTTTAAAGCTGAGGAAACTGAGGCAGAGGTCAAGTGACTTGCCCAGGGTGACATAGCTAGTAAGTGTCTAAGGCTGTATCTGTGTTCACACATTCGTGACTCCAGGTCCAGCGCTTTGTCCACTGCGCCACCTTGTTAGAGAGCACCTGAGACAAGATTTGAAATGACATCTTCCTGACTCCAAGGTTCAAGACATACTGTACCACCTAGCTGCCATGGTCTACAGATAGATGTCAAGGGGATCCATGAATTTAGATGAGAAATATATACATACATATCTCATGGATACACACATATATGCACAGATACATGTATCTTTATTTTCACAAACCTTTAACTGAAATTTAATATTTCTTTAAATTGTGAATTTTAAAAGATTATTCTGAGACGGGGTCCCTAGGCTTCACCAGACTGCTAAAGAGGCTCATGACACAAGAAGAGGTCAAGAACCCATGCTTTAATAGATCGGTGGTCTCACCTGTGTATGTACTCTCCTCAAAGAGTACCAGTCACAAACCATCCATAAGTCCTCATCCTATGTGACCTTTATTCACATCCTCCCTTAAATCCTCAAGAAACAATCCATTCAACATGCTGGAGGCCTTCCTTGAGGTCTTTTTGTTTCTTTTTCTTTTTTTTTAAACATTCTATGCACGTCAGTGTAGCACACAGGCTCTCCATTATTCACTATTATTTTTTTTTTTGGTGAGGCAATTGGGGTTAAGTGACTTGCCTAGGGTCACATAGCCAGTGAGTGTCTGAGGCCGGATTTGAACTCAGGTCCTCCTGACTCCAGGGCCAGTGCTGTATCCACTGTGCCACCTAGCAGCTCCCCATTATTCACTATTGCTACATGACTAGCCTGCTTTCTTTTTCTGATCAGACATTTCTTGGATATTATATTTTACACAAAGTCATTATTGATAATAAATTGCTAATTCACATCCATGGTCTCTCTAGTGTCTTTCAAGTGACCCTCAATTTTGACTGTTTAGATAGCATAGTCTTCCATGTTTCATATCCATATTACATTCCCAGGATAATATTGATTCAAAAGGATGGGCTTTTGTTTCAGGAAGCAGTTTGGAGTCATTGAGAGAGCTGTGTACTTTCCCAGATGAAATGCAAACCGCCTTTTTCCTCCTATTCAGTTCTGGACCCAGCTGATTGTCCATCTGTAGTGTATGTCGAAGACATGTATACTGATGGACTAACTCAGTTGGCTGCCCATCTAATCACATGTCATCATCTGCACGTGTAATCTGGCAAGCATTCTATAAATCTGTACATTTCATTGAGGCTGTTTTGAAAATTAAATATCTGGATTGGGTGTCAGAGGAACTGGATTATTTGCTGTGTGGCTATGGAAAGCCACTGACCTCTCTGTATCTCAGTTTAATAAGCACATAAATCTATATTCACATTATGCATGTAGTTTAAATATAATTACTGTATAGTTACTAAGAAAACCCTATACATGATACAATACGTGGTATTAATTTGACCCTAAGGGGGAAATGTGTTAGTGTTAAACTGCTACTATCTAAAATGCTTAGATATCTTTAAGTTTATTACTAGACCTTATATCTTACAATAGCTGTGTTTATGCAGGGCAAGTGAAGACCTGAAAAATGGTCTAATTAATTTGATTCATGTAGATGGCAGAACTGGATTCTTAGAACTAACAAGACTCTTTTTCTCCCTTTTTGCAATTTTAAGAGCCATAATTATTCAGGCTTTTTTTTTCTACTAGGAATGTATGGAATATGTCATGGTTTGTGCTAAGGAAATAAAATGCTGCCTTTATTTTAATGTGCAAAAAGTGCTGCTGTCACTGAAACCTATGGACCTATGTACAATTGAAGTTAGTTAAATTAGTTAAGTCAGTTAACTGAAGTTAGTTAAGAATCTCTGGTACATAGCAGGGACTGTGTATTAGCAACCTTTGGCCTGACTTCGTTGGTAATTGCCAACTTTTATCTTAATGAATTGGGGACATTATATACACATTGTCTTCCTGCTACCTTAGTCACAGCATCTTCTTGGCCTTTACAACTATCTCTAGCCAGGAATTCTCTTCTACTCATCATCCCCCAGTCTCTGGGTCTCTCCTCACCCCTAGAGCCTGGTGTTTATGGCTAGTGTCCTCTTCCGGATAAGACTAGGTTCTCTTTCCTTTTCCTTTCAGAGAGAAGCAGGAAATTGTCACGGGGATTGTAGTAAGATTTTGGCTGTCACTGAGGAGGGATGGCCAGCCCCACTATGCCTATTGAGAGATTGAGAGCCTGTGCTCACACCCTGACATGGGGTGGCCAAGAACTTTTCCTTTTCGCCCCTACGCCCTTTTATTTCACTTCTCTGGCAGCCCCACTTGGTGCTTTCTATAACAGGTCTTGGCTGCAATGGCATGTCCTTCAACAGGTAGGGAAGTTGTTTGACTACTTTGCCCTTTGAGGCATAAAGAGGCAGAAGGGGAATGATGATCAGAAGCTCCACCTCAGCTCTTGCTGCCCTCTGGAAATGTCTTTCTGATCTAGCTGTCTGCTGTGCTGATTCTGGAGACAGGGTGCACTTTAAAAATCAATCCTCTAATCTTTTACTGGTAAAGTTGGCTTTAATGGACAAATTGATAATTTAGAAAATTATGAAATGGGAGCAGGCACACCCGATTATTTGGATACTCTCTGGGAAAGACCGTGATTGGCAGTGGGAAGAGAGACGGCAATCACACTTTAAACACAGAAGGTATGGAGAGAAACTGTGAAAGGGATGTAGAGGCAGGTGGTGAGAGAGGGGGATGGGACGGTGAAGGAAGGCAGGGAGTGTGAGGAGGAGGATGGGGAAGGGAAGAGGCACAGAATATCACTCACATTACCATGGATTAGAGTTGGTAGCACCAGGCAGCATGGACCCAATGGAAATGGAGGAGTCCTTGGGGAGGGGGAAGGAGTTTGAGGTCTCATTTTTATCAGGTTTGGGGGGGAACCAACTGACTTTCATCTGTGCCACCTTGGATTTAGTTCATTTGTTGTTGCACAGTGATTTCAGTCATATCCAACTCTTTGTGACCCTATTAAGGATTTTCTTGGCAAAGATACTGGAGTGGTTTGTCTTCTCCAACTCATCTCACATATCCAAATCATTTCAAAGTTATCAGTAAAATTTCAAAGTTATCAGCACCTTCTCGATGTTTTGCTGGTCTGGAGCTGTAGAAGTCTGGAATTTGTCTGGAACTTACATATCATAGAATCAGAACCCTGACAGCACCACCTAGATGGTTTCTGCTGATTCAGCACATACTATTAGGATATGAATTTTGGTTAATATATGGTATAATTTGTAAATTATGCTCTGATCTTTGGGACAGTTTGTGACTTCCAGGTTCCCATTTATAATTTTATTTCCAGCTATTATCCTCTTTATACTGGCTACTTATACTATATTGACGAGACGGGGGAGGGAATCAGGGAGCCAGGGAAGAACAGTTTTAACACAATAGCATTTTATGATCCACCAGTACCTATTACTGTATTTTAACCCCCAAAGCTGAATTACTAGATTAGCCTAATTATGGCCTGGCTTAGAATAAGGATCACAGAAACTAAAACTGGAAGGGATCACAAATAACATCTATTCTTCCCCCCTTATGGGCAGGTAGGTGGCACATGGGTAGAGTGCTGGGCCTGGAATCAGGAAGGTTCCTCTTCCTGAGTTCAAATCTGACCTCAGGCACTTACTGGCCATGTGACCCTGGGCAAATCAACCCTGTAAAATGAGAAGGAAAGGGCAAACTACTCCAGCATCTTTGCCAAGGAAAACCCCAAATGGGGTCTTGAAGAATCAGACATGACTGAAAAATGACTAAACAACAACAATCCTCCCTCCTTATATTACAGATGAGAAAACTAAGGGTCAGGGAAGTTAAATGATTCACTTAGGGCTGCACAACCAGGATTCAAACCTAGAAATTCAGGCAAGAAATCCAATCATCTTGCCACTACTCCATTCTGGCTTGGACTTTGTCATTGTTACTCAAGCCCCAATGCTGCACAGATTGGACATCAGGGAATGGGAAAAGACCCCTAATTTCTTTGGTTTTCTCAGTTCTTTTACTAAACTACAAAACTATGTGAAATGAAAGCAAAGATGACCTCAGCTCTCCCCACCCACCCACCCACCCACACCCCATGGCCTCTTGAAACTACAGAGAAGTTATTAATCACCACTTTACCTTCTGTGCCTATATATTGTCTCCATTCCCCAGATCTCAGTTACTGGTGGCAGGGAAATTGTGTTGCACAGCATACATCAATCAAGATGTCTGATGGTTTAGGACCAATACTGAATGAAGTTTAGCTTGCTGCAGTTTAAAGGCCTTTGTAAAAACTGACTGTGTGAGAGATTAAATTTAAATCACTGTGTTTCCAGAGGAAGACAGAACAAGAGGCAGTACCCATAGGACTTATGTTTTTCTTTTTCTTTTTTGAATTTGTAGGAACATTGAGAAAAATGTCTGCGAATGAATAACACCTAAGTCTCTGTAGAAGCAGCTTGGTGTAATGGAGAGAGCACCAGACTTGGAGTCTAAAAGATCTTGAGTTTGAATTCTGACTCATCTATTTACTAGCTCTGTGACCTTGAGCAAATTGTTTACTTTCTCTCAGCTCCAGTTTTCCTATACAAAAATGAGGATGATAAGTAGTAGTGCTTACCTCATGGATTGTTATGAAGTTCAAATGAGATAATGTATGTTGAACATTTTACAGACCCTAAAGCACAATACAAATGTGAGCTATTATTATTATAGCCAAATAAAAAAATTTGGTCTTATAGCTGTTAGATCTGATCTCAGACACTTACTTGCTGTGTGACCCAGAGCACGTCACTTAACTGTGTGCTTCAGTTTCCTTATCTGTAAAATGAGCTGGAGAAGGAAATGACAAACCACTCCAGTATCTTTGACACGAAAGCCCCAAATGGGGTCATGAAGAGTCAGACATGACTGCAATACTGAATAACAACAACAAAAGCTGTTAGGTGTGGGTTGTAAATGTTTTGTCTGACTATTGTTCCCAGAGAAATAACACTCAATAATGTTGATACTACATATTTAAATCTGATATTGAATATTCTAAAAGATTGTTATTCAGTCAAAATTGTGAAATAGGTTCATTTTATATGTGGTTACCTGGCCTTCCCTTTCCTTAGACTATTCTATATTTCACTCTCTTCTATTTCTGGCACACGGAGTTCTCATACTGTTCCTTCTTTTCTCCGGAGAAATACTATTTAATAATTTCAAGCTCACTAAAGTGTTAGGGACTCAAAGTATTTATCTACCTTTAAAGGAGAACAGGAAAGGACAATGATAAACATAAAGGAATAAATACTAGGAGTACAACTTAAAGTATCATGGTGGTGGAGAGTTATTTGGAAACATGGTCATAGGATTTAGAATTGTAAAGGACTTTAGAAATCTACTAGTCTAACTCTCTCTATCATAAATAAAGAAACTGAAGCCTAGAGAGGTCAAATGATTTTCATAAGGTCATGTCTAATTTGAACTTGGATCATCTGATTCAAGCTCTAGTACATCAATGCAAAGAAAGGCAAAAGACAGTCTCTGCCCTTAAGAGGCTCACAATCTAATGGGAGAGACAACATGGAAACAACTATGTACAAACAATCTGTATGCAGGATAAATCAGAGATAATCAGTAGAGGGAAGTCACTAGAATTTAGAGCAGGGGTGGGGAACTTTGGCCTCGAGGTCTCAAGTGGCCATCTAGGTCCTCAAGTGCAGCCCTTTGACTGAATCTAGACTTCACAGAACAAATGTCCTTAATAAAAGGATTTGTTCTATAAAACTTGAACTCAGGCAAAAGGCCACACTTGAGGACCTAGAAGGCCGCACATGTGGCCTGGAGGCCGCTTCCCCCCCCCCCCCGATTTAGAGGGATCAGGAAAAGCTCCCTGTAGAAGGTGGGATTTTAGCTGGGACTTGGAAGAAGCCAGGAGGCAAGGATGAGGAGGAAGAGTATTCCAGGCATAGGGGACAACCAAAGAAAATGCCCTGAGTCAGGAGATGGAGTGTCTTACTCCAGAAACAGCAAAGAGGCCAATGTCACAGGCTCTAAGTGTACTTGGGGATGGGGTATGTAAGAAGACTGGAAAAGAGGAGGGGACTGGGTTATGAAAAGCTTTAATGCCTTTTTCACTGATTCATACTTCCTTTGCTCTGCTTTGCTCTTCTCAGATGCTCCCGATAAGGCATTGCCAGAGCCCACCTGGAGCTATGGAGGGTCACATTCCCCTCCTTTGCTCCTTAGGCCTCTCCTACACAGGTACTTCAACCTTGCTGACTACCTCAGCCTCCCAAAGCATAACATGTAGGTGGCACAGAACAGCAGGTCTGCTGGGAAGGAGTTCAGAGAAGATGAATGTACACTGAATCGACTCAAATTTCCTTCTCCTTGTTAAAGAAGTGTGGACACAGCTGAAGGCCATAGTGGCAGCAGTCACCAGATGCCTGACCTCTCTGTTCAAGTGGATTGTTTGGGTAGATGATGCTGTTGTGTGCTGCTGCTGGCCAGGTCACTGGAGATCGAGCCCCAGGCTGCAGGCCTGGGCTGCCACTCCCACTTTCTGTTGCTTCCTCCTAATCCTTGCTCTCTTTCCTTCAGATGTGAGGTCGGCACAGACACCTGGTCCCAATGCAATGACACACCTGTCAAATTTGCTCGCTTCCCAGTCACTGGATTAATTGAAGGTCGTTCTTACATATTTCGTGTCCGAGCGGTGAACAAAACTGGAATAAGCCTCCCGTCCCGTGTTTCTGAGCCTGTGGCAGCACTGGACCCCGTAGATAGAGCCAGGTTTAAAAGTAAGCATCTTCCTTAAGGCAGAGATTTAGCAAACTCAGTGGCCCACAAGAGGTTGTATTTGTGTTCATTCCTCCACACATCCACTAGAGGGAGGTAGGAATAAGACATCTTTTCTAGACAAATGCATGTCCAAGAAATCTTGCAGTTCACAGACTTCCCCATTCTCATGAAATTTGGTTTTGTTTGCATTTGAAAGTTTTATTTTCTTAACTTTGCTCAAAGACATGGAATCCAAGGACCTGAAAACTATTTCTGATGCTCATACTAGCACATTCCAAAAATAAGTATTGGGTTTCTTTGTTTTTTTAACAGAGAAATTCTTTACCTTGAAGTAGCCTCTTTGAGGCAAAGGTCTTATCCGTAGCACTTCCTAATTTCCAAGCAACACAGTTTTGAAAATTAGCTGGAGGCCATTCTGTTTTAGCTATCAAAAACATTTCTATTGTTTATATGCTAAACCTTAATATTAAATAAAGCCTTAGTACATAAATCTTGCCCCCAGGTTTGTTTGAAAAGAGCACACCTAGCCTCCTACAGGTTGGGGAGACATTGAACTATGGCATACCAATAATAATAATGATGACGATAGAGAAATAGATAGATAGATAGCATTTACATAGAGTTTTGAGGTTTGCAAAGTGCTTTACAGATATTTTCTCATTAAATTTTCACATTGGGAAATAAATGCTGGGGAGATGAAATATTGTTATCCTCATTTTACAAATGAGGAGACTAAGGAAGATAGAAGTAGTAATTTGCCCAGGGTCACATAGCTAGTAAATGTCTGAAGCCAGATATGAATTCAGCGTTTCCTGACTCCAGGTCCAGCACTCTATCTACTTACTGTGCCACTTAGCTCCATATATCTATATTTATATGTTTACATATAGATATATAAAGCACAAGGGCAACATTATTGGAAATCATCCATTTGGCCATTTATCTGAGCTCAGATCTAACTGCCCTTCCCAGGCTAAGCTCTTAGAAGGCCAGTGAGGTATCCTAGATATTTCCCAGTTTCTGCTTTCTTTACAAACATGAGGCTTTCACATAGAAGAGACCCATTGAATGTCGTGTGGAATGACTGAACTAGTCACAATTTGGGGGTGGAAGGTGGGGAAGGGAAATTAATCCAGTAGTTCTTTAATCAGATTGATCAAATGAGTCACCCACATGGTAAAAGTAGTTGAGGTGATTGAACATAGCAGCCAGTCTTCATTATGGAGCCGTTTCTAATTTTCAGTTTTTGGTTCATTTAGGTCAACCTTCTGCACCCTGGACTGGACAGATCATTGTCACTGAAGAGGAACCTGCAGGTAAAGACCATGATTTCCAAAGGGTTATAGCAACAAATTAAGATGTTTGGGTTTTTGTTTTTGTTTTTTTGGCAGGGGGAGAGGGGGCAGTTGGGATTCAGTGACTTGCCCAAGGTCACACAGATAATAAGTGTCAGAGGCCTGATTTGAACTAAGGTCTTCCTGACTCCAGGGCTGTTGCTCTATCCAAAATTAAGATGTTTTTGTAGGTATAGCTGGAAGGCACTCAGAGGCCATCTAGTCTAATTTCTTTTATTTTACAGATGAAGAAATTGAAGCTCAAGATATTTAAGTGAATTAATTGCCCAAGATCATAAAGGTAGTAAGCATCAGTCTCAATCTGAATGCAGGTCCAGAGTCAGAAATCTTTTCGCAATGCCATACTGCCTCCCAGTATGTCCATCATGTCCCCAGTGGAACTCATATTTCCCTCCAAACCCATCCTTCCTCTCTGGCTTCCTTCAAATCTCAGCCAAGGTCTTACCTTCTACAGAAAGCCCTTTCCAATCCTCTTTAATCTTAGTGCCTTCCCTCTGAGACCACACCCACATTTATCATATCATATCATACCATATCATATCATATCATATCATATCATTTCATATCAATCTACCTTATTCTTATTAGCTGTTTGCATGTTGTCTCTCCCATTAGACTATTAGTTTCTTGAAATAATAGGTACTTAATAAATGCTAGTTGAGTAATTGATTCCAAACTTCCTCTTTTGCTGACAGTCTTTCTTCTGGTCACATAGATTCACATCCATGAAGTTACCCTTGACTCTTTCTTCTTCCTCAAACCTCATAGCTAATCAGTTGCTAAATCTTGGTGATACTACTTCCGTAACATCTCTGTCCTATGATCTGCTTGGCTCCATACACATTGCCTTTACTCTAGTTCAGTTTCTCATTAGCTGGGCTAGATGCATCCTCCCTACAGTTAACAAATTGATATAAAAAACATATCTACCTATATTACTCCCCATTGAAAAACCTCTAATGACTTCCTATTACCTCGGGTAAAATGCACTCTTCACTATAGCATTTAAAGCCTTTTGCTATCTGGCTCCTGCCTACTTTTCCAATTTTACTTCATGTTACTCTGCTCTTGCATGCTCTATTCTAGTAAAACTGACCTGTTAACTGTTCCCTGTCCTTAACATTCCTTTTCCCATTGCTGTGCCTTTGTTGAATACTCTCCCTTCTTACCTCTGCCTTATTGAAACCCTGGCTTTCTTCAAAGTGCAGCTTGGCTGCTTCCTGCCATAGGAAGATTTTCCTGATTTCTGTAGTAATTAGCACTGCTCCCTCTTGACATTACTTTGCGTACACCTTATCTTTAGTTGTATACAAGTTGTTTTGCTCAGGAGCACAAGAGCTCCTCAAGGAAAGGGACACATTTTCTTATTTTATATCTTTTTGGTGTTAATAATTAGAGGACCATTGGACAAAGTTGTCTCTAATCTTGCATCCATGAAGGAATCTTAAATTATCTATTGATCATAATATAACTAGTATTTTAAGGTTTGCAAAATGCTTTACAAATATCCCATCTTATCCTCACAATAACCCTTGGGGGTAGGGCCTATTATTATTCCCATTTTACAGATGAGGAAACTGAGGCAGACAGGTTCAGTGACTAGCCCAGGTCACACAGTTAGCAAGTGTATGTCTGGATTTGAACTCAGATCTTCCTAACTCCAAATCCAGAGCTCTATCCACTGCACCACCATGCTACCTATCTATCTATAAAAATATTTATCTATCTGGAGCCTGTTTGAAGAAAGTCTTTAAAGCAACACTATGGTCCACCAAATCAAATATTATTTTATAGTCAACAGCAACAAAAAAATAAGTACAGTGGGAACATATATTTGCTCTGTCTTTAAGTCAGTTGTGTGACTACAAAGATCTAGTCTCCTGTGAAATATCAGTTATGAATGTCTGCCTGTTCCTTTCTCATATTTTCATCAAGGGTACTTTTTATATATACATATATATATGCATATATATATACATATATATATATATGCATATATATATGTATATAAAATCTTCACAAAGATTTTGTAGACATGAGAAAATAAGCATGTAGGTCAGAATCATTTAATTTATGTTCAATCTTCTTAATTTCCCCCTCTGGGTAGCAATATCATCTGTAATTTTTTGGAATCATTTAGTATCTTCCATCTTTTCAAAAATCCTGAGAATTAATAACATTTCAGAGCCCTCAAAATTATGTCACCTCCAGCATAGTCCTCTTCTGTCTAATCTAGTCTACTTGTTCTTTCTATTTTCATTGTCCTTAGAGTAATTTCTCCTTCTTTGTATAGTACATTGGAGGGTAAAAAGATATATTAGTCTATGTACGGGGGTTCTACTATCATTGATGCAGCAAATAATTTGTTCCAGAAATGTTGACAGATCTTTTCCACTTTTTTTTCTATTTGTTGTCTTTCCAGTTTTATCTTTAGATGCTTTTGGGATAATCTGGACCAATTAGATCAACTTCACACTAAGCTTTCTGTAAATTCTTTTTCTTCCTATAAAGCTTTTCACTATTTGATGAGGTGATATGGCTCATAATCTTTCACTATCTTTCTCTGTAATGTTTTTCAAATAATTTGCTGGTGATTTTGATCTCTGTTCTAACAAGTTGGTGGTTTAACTGTATGCAGATGGCTGATTCATAAATGACTTTCACATAAGTGAACAGTCATTTCCTGTCTGTCATAATTTATTTTGTCAATTTTGTGACTTTTCTAGCAATTTCTGATTCCATTTTATTCATAATGTATAGACATGAAAATTCTGAGTAATTTACAGGCCTTTGGCCTCATTTTTTTTTCTCAAACCTCAACTATATTTTCCACTGTGAAGCCGTAACAGCTTCAAACCTGATAGTCAAACTATCAGTGCCAAAACATGGGATGTGCAAAAGGCAAAGATATCAACCTTCATGACAACTGAAGTATGACCAAAATAAAACAGTTACCACAACAAGGAGACTTAAAGAGTCCAGAAATCTCATTAGTTAGCAATGACTTATCTGCTTGCAAAGCAGAGAGAGAATGACAGCCAAAGACAGCACCCACTTTAGAATACAAACTTATTCATAAAGCACTACAGAAGATTCTAGAAGATTATGAGGCGTATTGTCTTCTGAAACAGCAGAAGGAAGGGAAAAAAATCTAGAAAACTTACTGTGAGGACTCAAATAAATCACATCATCCCAAGAGCATTTGCAGAAGAAAATAGCAGGGAGATGACAAATAGATAAAAAGCGCAGGAAGATTGCCAATATTTCTCTAACATCCTATTTTCATCATCAGTGATGGAGGAACCACCTTATTTTGATTCTAATACCTCAATGTCCAATGTGCCATAGGAAAAAGGAAAAATAGTACTTAGGAAGACAAAGCTGGGACCAGCCCAAGTCCACAAAGGAAATCCATTAGGTATCACTTTACAGGATATCTCAGATCCAATAAATATTTTAAAAATCATGGTTGCTATTGACTAAAATTAAAAAGAGGGAGAGGGAAAGCATCAATAACTCCCACCCCATATACCTAAATACTCCCACCCCAAATACTTTCTCGTATTCATATAATCTTTATAAGGATGCATTATACACAAGTATGCTCGATGAAAGTGAGAAGACTTTTGTAGGTAGGCTTTTGCATATGATTTTCCTCAGCGGACTACATCTTTATAGTTGCCTGATTGAAGGGTACAGAGAATACAACATTTCTCTGTGTTAACTGTTTGTTCACTATTATTTTAGTCAGCTGAGTAAGATGCAGTTTTAAGCATTGTCTTCCAATAAGGGATCTCTTATTTATATGCTAAGGTTATATGAGATTCCTTGATAAACACAACCACAGAAGTACTTCTCTGTTCAATAGCTCTATGATTATTAAAGTCAAGTAAGGTATAAAACAAGGAATTATATGATCACCAAAGATTCACAGCACATATGTCTTGTGAATCTTAGAGCACTATAATCTCCAAAGAATCAAAGTTGTGAATGATGTAAAGGACAATGGGGAAATGCATGACTGGTATTGTTAGGCTGCAGAATATTTTCAAAGATGACCAATACTATTATTTTTTAAAATTAACATTAATTTAAAAAATTTTGAGTTCCAAATTCTTTCTCTCCCCCAGCACTTCCTCCACCTATTGAGAAGGCAAGCAATATGATACCAATTATACATGGAAATTCATGTAAAACATATTTCCATAGTAGCCATGTTGCAAAAAAAAAAAAAGCAAGGAAAAAGTAAATGAAGAAAATATGCTTCAATCTGCACTCAAAGTTCATCAGTTCTCTCTCTGGAATGATAGCATTTTTCATTGTGAGTCCTTTGGAGTTGTCTTAGATCCTTATATTGCTGAGAATGTCTAAGTTATTCACAGTTGATCATCATACAGTATTGCTATTACTGTGTTCAGTGTTCTCCTGGTTCTGCTCACTTCACTTTGCATCATTTCATTTAAGTCTTCCAAGGTTTTGCTGAGACCATCCCCCTCATCATTTCTTATATAGCACAATAATATTCCATCACAATTATATACCACATCTTGTTCAGTCATTCCCCAACTAATAAACAATAATGTCCTATACTCAATCAGTCACATGGGGATATTGCTGAGGGAACGTATGATCAGAAAAGGAAATGGACCAATGAGAGTAGGTGATAATGGATGGACAGCCTAGATACTCCACTTATATTCAAGAAATGTAGCAAACCTTAGAGGAGGGCATCCAGAATATTGGGTGGATTCTCTGTGGAGCATTTGTGAAAGAACAAGGACACAAATCACAAAGAATGAGAAGATGTAGATGGACTCACATTTCGCTGCTGAATCCTGAACCACAGTTTCCAGCATATTTTTATTGTCTCACCTTTTCATTCAAGTCAATGAACTTAAAAAGTATATGGTGATTTAACTTGGAAGTTGTATTTAATTCTTTTTTTTTTTTGGTGAGGCAAT